GAAACAGATGAGAGAGAGATCTGTTTAAAAAGGATATATGAATGGGTATTCTTGTCATTACAGAAGTCCAGAGTGAAGGCTGCATTGTGGAGTGGACTTGGAGGGAGGAATTGCATAACAATGAAAGAATTTTTCTTTTTCTTTTCAAGGAGAAGAGTGAATTTGGGAGAGGGGTGGGCAGGGAGAAAAGTGCAACAATGAATGACTGGAAACCCTAAGTCTCTGTAAATTTTCACTAAAATTAATAAATAAATAAATAAAAAGAAAGAATAGCCCATTCTTCTCTCACACAGATCCCAAACTGCTTCTACTTCCTCCTCCACCTTTAGTCACAGTCCAACCTTGAGGGTCTTATTCATTCAGTGATGATTTATCGAGCACCTACTATATGCCAGGCACATTCTGGATGTGACAATATTTGTCTACTCTGCATCAAAAGAATTGGAGGCAATATGGGGAATGGTGTAAAATGGGGCCCCTACTGAAGGGTCTTAAGCTTTCTCCAAGTTTTCAGAGCAGAGGCTTCTCATTTGCATGACTGAATCCAGCCAGGCCTGAAATCTGGGAGAAAACAAAATTGGAGACTAGAACTCAGAACGTAGAAATAGAACACATAGAAACATGTGTTATCATTTTGACCCTGTTCTCTAGAACAAGAAGAAAGGTTTGAAGAGGTGGGTGTGTTTTGGAGATAAAAATTTATCAGCAGGCATAGCAATTGAAAGGAGACTAGTGAGGAATGAAAGTGAGAAAGGCCAGACCCCAAATTTTATTTTTTTCCCCCTGAAAGCCATGGGGACTCATGGAGGAACTTAAGTGGAGTAATGATAAAGTTAATTGAGTTTTTGATAGATGCTCTGACTGCTTTACGGAAAACAAAGAGACTGGAGATGCTAAAACTGGAATCAACAATGATGTTTCTAGCCAAGAGAGGTAGCATAGGAGGTGGTAAGAAGTGGATTACAGAGATGTGTAGAGGGTGAAAATGGATTCTTTGTGAAGTACATTATAAGTGATAAGTGCTTATATTTAATAAGTACAACAATCCTATGGATTACCATGCCCAACTCACTTCTAAGTCATAGCAACCAGAACAGAATAGAATTGTCCTGGTGGCCTAGTGGTAAGAAGCTGTGCTGCAATTCCAAAGGCATGTGGTTTGAATCCACCAGCTGCTCCTCAGGAGAAGGATGGGTAATCTCCTCCCATGTGATTACCTGCCTCTGAAAACTCACTGGAGGGTCATCTATGGGTTGATTCTACTTGACAGTACACAACAACAACATAGGGTTTTGAAGGCTGTAAATTCTTATGGAAGTAGAGTGCCTCATCTTTCTGAAGTGATTCAAACCATTAAACTTTCAGTTAGCAGCCCAATGGTTTCTTGGGTTTTGTTTGTTTCTAACATAAAAATTAAATTTATTTATCTGTTTAGGACATAATATACAAGACACAAAGAATCCTCATAGAATTCACCCCAAGTCCTTGGGATGTGCATATCTTTGACTAAAAGTAGAAAGTCACCAGGAAAAGCCAGGGATTAATTGCTTAGGCCAATAAAATAAGGTGGATTGAAGGTAATGCCTATATCATTTTCAGTGTGATGAGCACGAGGACTGTTAGTTGCAAGCTGATTTTCTGGAAGTGTTAGCTAGAAGCACTGGGGACACATTTCTGGACACTTGAGATATCATCTACACCACACAGGTACAATATCACTTGATGCCATGTCTTGCTAGATGTAGTAGTACAGGAACTTTCAGTACTTTCTCTTGAATATAGATATAATTCAGATCCAATGTATCTATGTCACTGTGAGAGACCACGATCCCAATCAAGACTGAACTGTTGTTGGCCATCTGGGCTGTTTCCATGTTCTTGCAAGGTCCACTTTCTTCTTAATGCTCTCCAGCATGCTGTAAGGACTGCAGCTCTCATACTTTTCAAATACTATCTGGAGGTGGTGCACACTCTGTTCCATCATAATGCTGATCCACTTGGGAACATGAGTTCCTTTCCTCTTCATGCCAACATCATAGAGCGCTTGGGCATCTTGGTCAATCATAGTCAATGACAGAACCATCTTCTGCCTTTTGCAAGGGCAGCCATAAGCTTGTGAAAGTCACCAGATGTGTCAGAAATACTGTCCTTCTCCAGGTCAGTCTTGTACATTTCCTTGTTGTTCTTATGTGCCATCGAGTTGCCTGTGACTCATAGTGACCCTATGTACAACACCTCTGAACTCTGCTCTATCTTGAGCCAATTTCATTATCTCTGACACACCTACCCCTATCACTGAGTCAATCCATCTCATCCAGTGTCCCTTCGTCTCTTGTGCTGTCCCTACACCATTCCAAGAATGACGTCCCTCTCCAAGGACTGCTCCCCTCTGGCCACATGCCCAAAGTATGTCAGGTGGAGTTTCAAAATCCTTGCCTCCAATGAGCAGCCTAATTTCACCCTCTCCGGGCCACGCCTGTTTGTTCTCTTAACAGTCCATGGAATATTCAGTTCTCTTCTCTAGCACCACAACTCAAAGACATCAATTCTTCTATCATCCTTAGTCATTGGCCAGCTCTCTGATGCATAGCAAGTAATTGGGAAGACCATGGCCTGGATCAGGTGCACCTTAGTCTCTAGACTGACACTGTTGCTCTTCAGTACTTTGGGGAAGTCCCTGACAGCAGATTTTCCCAATGCAATTAGTTTTTTTAATTTTCTGGCTGCTGGTACCAAGAGTGTTGATTGTGAAGCCAAGCAAACTGAAGCTGTTAGCAATCTCAATCTCTTCACCATCTATCATGATACTGTCAGCTGGCCCAGAAGTGAGAATCTTCATTCTCTTGAAGTTGAGCTTCAACCCATATTGAAGCCTGCAATTCTTGACTTTCTGCAGCAACTTCAACTTCCTCCTTCATCAGGTCCTCCTCAATTCTGGCAAGCAAGGCTGTGTCATCTGCATAATGCAGGTTGTTGATAAGTCTTCCTCCAATCCTGATGTCACACCCCTCTTGATAGAACCCAGCCTCCTGAATGATCTGTTCTACATATAGATTGAAAAGGTACAGAAATAGGATGGCGTACACTTTTCCTGATCTTGAACCATGCAATGTGTCCTTGCCCTGTTCTGATGACTGGTCCAAGTATAGGTTTTGCATAAGCACAATAAATTGTTCTGGGATTCCTATTCTTCTCTGTTAGAAAGACTGTTAAAAACAACTATGAGATCTCATCATACCGCAGTAACAATAGCAAAATTCAAGAGAACAGCAAACAACAATTTCTGGCAAGGTTGTGGAGAAACTGGAGCCCTTATTCACTGTTGGTGGGAGTGTAAAATGGTGCAACCACTATGGAAGTCAGTATGGAACTTCTTCCAAAAGTTGGAAACAGAAATACCATTTGATCAAGCAATTCCACTACTGGGAATATACCCTAAAGAAACCATAACTGCCACCCAAACAGAAATATGCACACCTATATTTATTGCCGCATTGTTCACAATAGCAAAGAGAGGGAAATAACCTAAGTGCCCATCAACAGACAAATGGATAGAGAAGCTGTGGTATATTCACACAATGGAATACTATGCTGTTGTTGTTGTTGTTGTTATGTGCCGTCGAG